TGGCAGGTGGCCGTCCTGGTCTACAACAGCGACGACAACAGCACTTCCCAACGCATCGATGACGTTAAAGTCGAGCTGAAAGGACTAGCTGAGCAGAAGGGTGAGCTTTTGACAAAATCCTGGTCCTCAGATAAAATGTTTCAGTCCAGCTCAGTATCTGTTTGTTACCCAGGTCTGGTGTATGTCACCTACTACCTGGACAATAACGTTACCAACCCACACCAGCTGTGGCAGAGCATGGGCAGCCCTGACTTCCCCACCGCGCAGCAGTTCAGACGCCTCAGGAGCGTGGAGGTAATTATTTCTAAATAGAACCATCTAAACAAGATTTTAATTCCGGATGCAAGAAAAAGACCATTTTTAATCTACAGCTTCTGACCCACTGATGATGTGTCACTGTTAGGACCCCCGGACCGACGGACCTCAGAAACTTCCTCCTGGCGACTCTCTGACTCTAAAAGCCAAACTGTCTCTTCCCTCCGTCCTCCTCGTCCATGTTTGTGCCCGGCCTGAGGTCGGACCAGACCAGGTTGGAAAAAGTTTAAGTCTTTGTTCTGAACAGGCTGCAGTAATGACACACACTTATTCATTCTTATGTGCCTGCAGTGCCTTGCAGTCATGTCCTTTTGAACTTTTTTTTTTTTTTTTTTACATTGTGTTACATTCACTAAAAAGAATCTGATCGGTCAGGATTTTGTGTGATAAATCAAAACAAAGTAAACCTTAAATATGACATTGATCGAGAAGGTTTCTAACATTTTTTCCGAAGAGAAATCTGAAAAGTTTGACATAAATTTGTATTCAGAGGCCTTTATTCTAACGACTTTAAACAAAATCTAGTTCAACCACCTGCCTTCAGAAGTGACTTGATTAGAAACGGGGACCACCACTAATGGAGTCTCTTTGTACCATGACAAGATGTGATATTAATATGAATATTTTAAGGTGCTGCAGCCAAATAAGTTTTAGTTAGCACTCTGTTTTCGACCACACGCTGTGTTTTGTCTCTGTCAGGTCAATGGTTTACGCTTCATCAGGATCACCAAAGGCCAAGTCCTCGTTATCTGGTCAGATCACTGTGTTGGTTCAAAGTAAGTGCAATATCTAATATATTTCTCTTTCTTTGAGTTTCACTGTTTTATTCAAGGGAAATGCATTGAATGAGTCCTTTCAAAGGTTAGGCGATAACCTTCACTCCTGACTCCCTATTTTGCAGATGCATCAAAACGTTTGAAGTAGAATTTTCTACGGACCAAAAGGAATTCAGTCGGGTTAATGCTCAGGACACCATTTTTACGTCTTATGTCCACTCACCAGGTGACGTACCTTTATTTTCCCCCGTCCCTTTTTCCTGTTGTTTTTGGGATGTGATTTAAATTGTGATCTTCACTGCAGCCTCAGAGCTGGTAGTTTAGTCTGTCTATCGTGTTTGTGTTGCAGTGGACCAGAAGGTTGGGGGTCTGTACCGAGTCCGAGCTGTGGACTACTGGGGACGGCCCGGGCCCTACTCTCTGCCGGAGAGGTTTTCAGACGGGGAGTAGAAGGTGAAAATGCAAACAGTAGCACATTTTAGAGACGTTTAGTCTGCTGATTTCCATTTGTGGCTTGTTGAGCGAAATCACACCTCAGATGACGTTACAGACGCATCTGACTTCTTTACAAACGTTAAAAAAAAACTCACCTATTGAATTATTGCTATTTTATATGAACTTGTTCACATAAAGATTTTTACAAAAACACAAGACAAACTACTTTTGTTTTTTTTAAATAAAATTTATTGTCAGCAGCACAGATCAGTTCACATCAGATGTTACCCCTCAGTGAGTTACGACAACATTCTTTGAGACATTCGTACTATTCGTTGGATTTTGCTTTGAACTACCGTGGAAGTGTGTTGTGGCGTTACATTGGCGTGCAGGATTCATCAGAAAACTAAGCTGAGAGTGTAGCATTGCACGATTCCCCTGTGAACAGCTGCGTCTTCATCCTGGGCATTTCAGTCGGTCCAGATTGATAAAGTGCAGTCACTCATCCACCATCAGCCTGGAAGCTGTTTAACAGGCCCCTGTTGAAGAGAAATAAACACCTTTTAAGTTGAAATGCTCTGTATAGCCTCTATATTACGAGTCAAATGTCTGCATGTGTGCTAGTTGCGTACCCGACTGCAGCACGGGCTGGAACTGTCCGGCCATGCAGATTTCCTCCTGCTTCTGCCGGACGACTCTCTGGATGGCGGGGGGAAGGCCGCGAGGGTTGCGGGAGAAGACCAGCGCGTAGCCATCCTCGCAGCTTCCGTCCTCCTTCAGGGTGCGGCAGGCATATGTGATGGCGTAGTTGTCGTAGTCTGTGTCGATGACCCAGTAGTTGTCACCTGACAAAGCAGAGGGCGATGTTAGTCTTGACTACACTTAGATAGAGGAGGATAAAACATGCAGCTCTCGTAGGCTTACCACCGCTGGACAGGTAGCTGGCCAGCCCTTGGTAGTTCATGAACATCTTGCCTGGTGTGTTGGGGTCAGGGACTGAGTACTGAGCAGCCATGTCTGCACAGACAACCCAGAACCTGGACATGGGATAGAGTAAGAGCATTTCAGCTGTATTGTATTGTATTGTACAGATTTCAGTCTAGTAAGTTTTAAAAAAAAGACCAACCCAAAGAGAGTGACTCTGCCTCTGGAGGAGGCCACCATGGAACCGTCGTCCCCAACAGTGTACTCAGCAGAGATGTTGTCCTGCAGGAACAAACCCTCAGGGTCCTTCTTCTGCAGGGCGTACCATTTACCTGCATACTGCCAAGGAAAAAAGATAAACGGATACATTGACAGAGATTTCATGAGATTAGTACAGCTGAATTAGCAAAATGCAAAAAGATGATCACACTCTATGCTGATGATATTATTCCCTATAAGAAGAATGATATTCTGGAAATGGGAATAGAAGTTATTATGTACTCACCCTTTGGGGATCAAAGTCTTGTTTAACTGTGAATCTGTCCACCACACAAGAGGCCAGGCTCTGCTCCACACAGGCCAGGAAAAGCATCATCAACCCAAAGAGCTGGAAGTCCATTCTAAGTCAAGCCAAGAAAGAAACCTGGTTGCCTTTTGCTTTTTGAAATCTCTGCATATGGCTTAAAAGTAGGACAAATCAGTTTCTCTAGCAATGGGAGTTTCTATAAACCTCTTATTGGTCCTCGAAGGCATCATTTCCTTACCTGAGGTGCAGAGGAAATCCACGGGAAGCTTGCAGTTCAGAGATATGTTGCCGAGTTTGAGCTGTGCCGAGCAGCCTGTGAGTGAGCCTTTTATACTGGAGCCACAGACGGGCCGTCTGATTATTCTCACTTCTTCAGCCTAAATGTAGATTTTAAATCTAGCATTAATCCAGTTATAGAAATCCCTGCCTGTAAGCTGATGAGCCTTCACGTTCAGGAGCATGCAGGCTTTATGTAATTTTTTTTTTTTTTTTTTTTGCCGGGCTGCAGTTGATCATGGCGGATGAAAAGGAAGATTAAACTTGTCTGAACCCTGAGTCACGCGTACGCTGCAAAGGTGTTGTGGCATTTTATGTGTAATATAATGAAATTAAAGATGATTTTGCAATGTTGCACATTTTGTAATGTCCTTAAAGTAAATATATTTTTCAGGAAATTATTTTCACATTTCATATTTACAAGTTGCTACATCCGGCAACCTTAAAATTACGCTTGCAAATCTATGTTTTTGTATTTCTTTAGCCATAAAGGGTGAGAATGAGATGGCCACCATGGAAACCAGCTATAAGTACTGTGTTATGTCAGTAGAGGTTCAGGTGTTTCCGTCTCCCGTCATCTTGTCTGTAAATGCTGCCAGGCCTAATCCTGGACAGAATGTCTGCTGCAAAGAACTGCCAAAATGCTGAATAAGGATAATGCCTGTGCATGAGTAAAGGATCTCTGAATTCAAAGATGTTGCTGTAAATTTAGCTGCAGACATGAAAAAATCGTGGGTTTTCTGATTTGTGTAGAACCACAATATCTTGGTATTAGTTTGTTTTACCTGTCAGTCAAAACATCTGTGCTTTGACTAGACGCACTAAATTTAGATCCGTCTAAATCTGAAACCGCAGCAGCTGCTTGGCTCAGTTAACTAATCTGAAAACTGTAGATTTATCAACAGTCTCTTGCACAGAGAGAGGTGACGCCGGGTTAAACTCTGTTTATGGGGGCGTTGTGAGGTCAGGTCTGGTGTGTGGGAGCAGGACAAAGTTGTGCAACAACAAGATGTAAAAATACACATTACGTATTTAAACTCGTCACACCTCCATGGCAGATGAAGATTAACGTGATCTACAATAAAACCGAGGATTCAGTGACCTTATTACAGACTTGTAGTTTCTAAATTAGACATTCTGATCACTTAAAACAGTGAAGTATTAAATTATTTAAATGGGTGGTTTTATAATTATAGTTTCTTAATGTTTTTGGTTCTTCTGGTCAGGATTCAAAGAGTTTGCTCTTTGAATCCTGATTATATCCTTTGAATATAATCTTTATATTCTTTTAGAATATAAAGATTCTTGATTAATATGTTGATTAAAATCAACATATTTTAATCAATCATCTTGGAGTTATAAAATTCAAATAAAAACAGCCTACAAATAAAAAACAGAAAAAAAAAACACAGCTACTGTTAATTTGCATACGTTTACAACAGGGAAGTCTTGATCAGCCAAATCCGGATAAACATTTTAACATGAGCAGGTAAACACCTGAATATGTAACTCTGTGAAATAATAAAAATACAAGGCAGAATTCTCTATTCTGCAGAGATGATTCATACACCTTTACCTGTTAGAAACTGTTTAGGAAAACTTAACCTTTTCTTTATCAGAAAGCATTTAGCTTGGTTAATAAAATAAAACCTTCCATTAAATGTGCATAATATTAAAAACCATAATAATTAACCAGCTTTAATACATTAATGACTGATAATCTCTTCCTCTGAAAAAAACAACAGGGAGCAATGCCATGTATTTATTTTTTAATACATTTAAAGAACAAAATTATTTATGATGCTGTACAAAGAGCCAGAGATCTGAAAGGTGTTTAAAGTAAATGTACCCGGTTCCTCTTTAACATTGTTGCACCAACAATCAACTGAACAGTTATGGGGGAGAAAAAAAAATACATTTTATATTTTATGTCCTTCTGTATTTATGAAATTTCTTCAATTCAAATATCAACATAAATTTCTGAGTGTAGCTGCATTTGAAGTTATTCCTTCTCATGTAACTAAATTAGAGTTTCTGGGAAACCAGAGGAGGGGAGTTGTTTTCATTGTGACAGTGACACTTCCATGAAACAGCAGTGAAGCAGTGTGGCCTGACTTTGCCACCGTTACTCCAGGAAGAGGAGGAAGAGGTTGGACAGTGCACAAGAAGGAGGACATCTCCAAAGGACAGTCCAGAGGTTTACTTCAGGATGGTGTCTTCAGCTGTGAGACGGAGGGTAAGAATGAAAAGAATCATGCAACAATATTTGGATTATGGACTTGATTTGTATATGAATAAGAGTGAAGATGTTACCTTCTGCTAACTCCTTGGCAATCCTCTCCTGCTCCTGTCGAACTTTCTTCTCCTCCTCCTCAATCCTCCTTTCTTCGGCTGCAATAGGCTTCAGATAATCTGAGGAAGGTGAAGTCAGAGTTACAAACTAAGTTCAGTCAGAATTTCCTTTCTAACTTGCTCAGTTTGGAGGAAATTAGTTGAAAACCGTCCATATACAAGATATAAATTATTCATGGTGGATATAATTAAAAAGATAATGTCCCCACATATTAAAACTATATTTATTTCAGTTAATTTCATAGCCCCATGTTGTAGACACACTGGGAACTCAACGGGAGAAGAGTTCAGAATTTAAACATTTAAATAAATTTGTGTGGTAAGTTACCGCCTATTGTAAAGGCTGATTTACGTCTTCAAACCATCAGGTGACTCAATGTTATACATACTTGTTAAATTATACAATTTTTGGCTATTGTTACAATTTACACTCCATTTAAAATACACAGAGAATACTAGTTTACCAGATCTAATCTTATATTATCAAAACCGTTTATTAGCAACTACTCTCTCACATGTGATATGCAGCATGCACTGCTACTTCTATAAACAGTTAAAAATAGCTGTATGATGACTTCTTTAATAACTTACCATATCGCCGTTTACCGTAGACAATGCCAGCAATTAAAGCTGAATACCTGGCTGTCTGTAACAGAAAAAAAAAACATCCATTAGTGACCATTTCTAGCCAAATAAACAGTTTGCTTGTCATACACAGTATGAACACTAGGGGGACACAAGCGTTAAATGAATTGTAAAACATGTTAAAATTAAGCTAAATAACGTGAGTAATACATGATATCACATGTATTAAATATAAACGATTAAACATTTACAGTTTAAAAGTGGAAAAACGGAGCGTGTGCTTTGTTTTTCAATTAGCAACAATTAACTATCGTTTCCTTGCAGGTAGCTCCAAAGTGTTAGCTTTAGCAACATAAAATATGACACTCTGACACAAACATTTACTCTAGCGTTAATCAGGATGTTATTTAGACTGACTGCAACATGCATTTCTTTGCTAATTTGGACTGAATGAAAGCTTATACTGCGTTTTCATTTACCCATTCTCTTCGAGCTAATGTATCCTACTTATAGTTAGCATGTTGGTGACTTCGGACGAGTTGTCAACCAAGTGTGGAGAATTATTCCAGCAGTTTTACACTAAATTTCTTAATACGCGTTTCAGTGACATATTTAACAGCACAAACCTTTATCAAAGGCGACACTGCGACAGGAGGAGGCATGGTTCAATAGCAGACTAGCAGTTAGCAACAGAGGTCACTTTACCACTGCCGAGAGGAGAGTCGTCTTCTTCGGGGAAAGTTTTGCTTACCGCTTATCTGTCACAATTGAACTGCTGCCATCTTCCGGACACAAATGGCTACGCACGGAACTGTTGCTTCATTTAGCATGTCTTATCGAGCCTGACTGCATCTTCTTAAAAAAATTAAATAGAATTAATTAAATTAAAACAAATACAATTCCCTTTGCCTTACAGGTAACGATCTTGAGAGAAAAATGAATATAAAATTCAACATTTATAGTGACACCAAATAAAAGACTATGTGATTTATTGTATTGTTTTGATTCCTCCATGTCAAAAATGTGCAGCAGTAAGACGTTTTATAGGTTCACTCAGGTGAACAACATGGATTTAGACTTTAAAATATGTATGTCACAAACAAATTAATTATATGAAAGTAAAAGCTTTAAAAATATTTCATGAAGTGGCCACCTATTTTACGAGTTTCTTTTCTTGTTCCCTCATGAAAAGATGAACTTCCCTGCCTCTTATTCCTAAATACACACATTTCATTCCCCCTGTCATTTAACTCCTTATCCTCTCTCCTGAAACTATCAATTTTCCTTGATATAATTGTTTATTTTAACAAAGAGCATTTCTACACAAACAACAAAAAAGTTGTTTAATTTTTATATTTTGAGTTATCTGTGAACAAAGGGACAACTCCTCCTAAACCAAACTCTGTCAAAACAAATAAGGTCAGAACCCTTCTGGGTTAATTGTTTGTAGGACCACCTTTCACTGTGATTACAGCTACATCTTCTGAGTTATGTCTCCACACATTTGTCCATCTTCCCATCAACCATGGCCAGCTTCTTTGTCGCCACTAAAAAAACAGAAGCATCCCCACAGCTTGATACTGCCAACATCATGTTTTTTATGGGCATGGCATGTTCAGGTTGTTCAGGTTGTTGATTCTTGATTCTTCTGTTTCCATCCAATCTTAATTCTTTCAGCATAAAAATATTTTTCATTTAATGTTTTGGCAGCACGATGTTTCTTTTCAAAAATAATTTGAAATGTATATATTTTTCTTGATCTCCTCCCTTTCATCTATGTTAATTTATCATCTGTGTTTTTATATGTTGAGTCATGACAGAATTATTTCAGTATATGACTAGTAGCATACAACAAAATGAGAGCATTTTTTCTGAGATCTGTAAAAGATTATAAAACGGATACGAACAAAATAAATAAATAAAACACATGGGTTCAGTAATATAAAATGTTTAATCTTTAATGCAGCAGTCTCATGCTTTCAGTATTATTCAAAAAGTTCTTGAACAAGGTTCACAGATTACTCTAATTCATCTTAATTTTTTTCAGATTTAAAGGATAACAACATCCATGCACTCAAGGCTTAGTTAATACCAGAGGGAGCACCCTTAACGTTCTGGATTGTAGAAAGTTGAAGATCTCAGTAGAAACATGTGTTGTCTCATCGTAATAATTGAGGTCAGAAGAAATGTGTTCACTCCAAAAAAATACTTTCTTTTACAGTCATTAAAGACACTGTAGTTAAAGCAAGAGTAGGGTTTATTCAAAAATGCTGCAGTCTGAGTTTGTTCCATACACTGCAGGTTTTTTATCACACAAGCATCGTTGGCAGAATCACTGGATATTGAACAGTTTTGAAAAGCGGCACCACTTTTTACAGGCAAGCGTTTAAAAACTCTGAGATCCAGAGAAGGAGCATAAAATGAAAGCACATCAGCTGCTCTTACAAAAACAACAAAAAAATCAGTTTCTTCATTTATTTCCTGGTGCCTGTACTGAACCAGAAACATTCTCCATTTTCATATAAACAACAACATTGTAATGTAGAAAAGAGATGCTGCTTACATTTCATATCTTGGCCTTGCTTTATTACAGTATCACTTGTAAGCATTCCCCTCTATATCCTCACCTGAGCTTCACTGAAGCCACATCTCACAGAAATATTAATCTCCAAGATACGTCTTGTAAGGTTGCAATGACGTTTCTTGACACTGCTAAGCATATGAGCTCAAATATATTCCACATATTCAGTAGGTTTACAGATCAGTCATAAACTTTCATTCAAGACTTTGATTTTAAGAAAACAAGCAGATATACAATGTTTTGCAAATTTATTCAAACCCCTGTGATGTTCCAGCTAAAGTTGATGCTACAAAGTACTGGCTTAAATTGACTAAACACAGAGTTTTCAGAATTTTATTTTTAATAACTTTTCATGCCCACAAGCTTAAGGGGGTTAAAAAAAAACCTTCTTCAATGCAGTGTAATACTGTAAGAAAATGGTGATTATTTTATGCTTCTTATTCTTAATTAATTAAAAATGATTTCCAAATTTGCTTGTTTTTTTTTTGTTGTTTTTTTTTCAAGAAATCTCTGCTGACCTTCCCACTTCAAATACTTTTTTGCCACTAGGTGGCCCTAGAGAGACTGCAGAGTGTTTTCCCCACACAAATGCTGTCATCTCACTGGAGTGGATTGCCAGTTGTTTTTCAAACACATTTCATGCAGTTTTCCCAAAAATCCTTCTTCAAAAAGGAATCAGTGGTGACTTCCAAAGCAGCTGCTGAGCGAATTAATTGTCCTCTTGGCAAATCTCACCTTCCCACGTTGCTTCAGGCAGGCTGTGTACTGGTTGGATTTGAGTTTGGAGTAATAGTCAGAGAACTTGTTGAAGAGGATAGAAATAGGCAGGCCGTTGAGGATAATTCCAAACGCGATACAAACGAAGGCGAAGACACGACCCAGTGCGGTCTCCGGATACACGTCTCCGTAGCCCACAGTGGAGATGCTCACCTAAAAGAAGAGAGAGAGAGAGGAGGGGAGTCAGTACTAATAGACAAACAAAGATTGCAGATATTCATGAGAGACACTGAGATTACATTTTTAATAAATATACCATGACTGGCTTTGAGTACTGCTGATTTGTTTCTTTTCATTTGAGGGAGACAGCTTGGGTCAAATGATGGAAACATGGATACAGTTGGTTAATTAGGGCAATTATCCCAATAAATATCACAACTGGTGGTGAAATGGATGAAGCAGGTTAACACTGAGCTTCTGGAAAAGCCGCGATCTCCTGCTGGATTTGCTCATGTCAGTGGGTAAATAACTTATCCTTTTTCAACATAACATAAATCAGATTGTATAATAAATTTGTTCCGTTCCAACAGTAAGTATCATTTTCTGCTTCTGCCCCGTATCACTCTCACAGTAAGAACTGGTCTGTGGTGCAACTCCATGTTAGAATATTTTTAATACAAACTACCTTTCCACAGCAGGCATACTTGAATGAGACACTGTAAACAAACTGCAGCAAAGGTGACTCAGAAGTGGTTGGTTGATTGAGTGACTCATTTTTGTTGGAAAAAAAAAACAGGAGCTTGCAGCAGTGAGCTCTGCACACTCGTCCCTTCATCGTATCCATTAGTATCGCTCTGAGGATTACCATTTCCTTCTACCGGATTATAAGCAAGATTCCACCACCTGCTCAGAGAGTCAATGCATTGATCTGTTAATGGGTTTAATTGTGGCAGATGGGGAGGCTCTGTCACCAGGTAAACAGTCTGAGGCCATTGTTTAAACTAAAACCACCTTTCTGCAAATTCAACAGTTTACAACCTGATTGTTCTGCACCATTTATGACAAATGATTCTGCTCCTGTGCACTGGTGTAATAGCTGGTCTAATTAATTTGCACAAAGACGTACTTACAGCTGCCCACCACCAGGCATGAGGAATGCTGGTGAAGTTAGTCTGCGGCATGTCATGCTCCACAGTGAAAACCATGGCAGAAAAGCTGAAGATGCCCATAGCGATAAACAGGAAGAGGCAGCCCACTTGTTGGTAGCACTGGCGCAGGGTGAAGCCAAACGCCCTTAGACCAGTGGAGTGGCGAGCCAGCTTCAGGATTCGAAAGATTCGCATCAGTCTCATGATCCTCAACACTTGCCCCAGCTTGCCCACCTGCCCCACCGCCTTTATGTCGGCCTCGTGCTTCATGTAGTTTTCTTCGCTATCGAAGAACTCCAGGATGCCCTGCAGATACTGCGGCAGGATGGCAATGAGGTCCACTGTGTTGAGGACACTCCTGCTGAAGGATTTGAGATCAGGTGTGGATATCAGACGCAGCACGTACTCCATGGTGAAGAAAGCAATGCATATGGACTCTACATATTCACAATAAGTCTTGCCACTTAAGTGACCTGCGTGGGTTTTGTACTGCATCTCTTCCACCGTGTTGAGGGTCATGGCCACCAGGGAGATCAGGACAAAAAGACTGGAGGCCACGGCCATTATCTTCGCCTTGACAGAAGAAAAAGGTTTCTCCATCAGGTTCCATATCGCTCGACGTGCCTGACCCATGAACATGTCGTGGAACAGCTCCTCATTCTCCTCGATCTCCACCTCAGCCTCCAGCTCCCTCTGGATCTTTAGCTGGTCGTTCAGCTCGTCCTGCCTCTCCTCAAAGGAGATGCGGCAGCAGCGGTTGGTGTTTTTGATCCTCACTCCCCAGTAGTTGATCTCCTCCAGGAAGTTGCGGGGACAAAGCTCGTCCTTGATCCACAACACACCCGTCCTGTAGAAGTTGAAGATGCTGTGGAAGACCTCAGGATCCCTGTCAAAGAAGTACTCATTGTTAGTCACTATGTAGTCATCGCACAAGTCCAATTTCATGTTGTGATCCGTGTACGTGGCCAGTCGTCCTATCCTGGTCTTGGGGTACTTTGCTGCCATCTTGTAGGCTATTTGATAGGGCTTCCCCCCAACGTTGATGTTGATCACGTAGTTCTTCTTGGACGGTGATATCTGCCTGGAGAAGCTGAATGGGCCAGCCTCCTCCTCTTCTTCCTCATACTCAGCGTAAATATCATAGATGTCCCTGCTCAGTTCTTGCATAGAGTTCCATGTCTTCACACAGCTCTCCTTGGCCAGAGGGTAAACAACTTCAGAAGGTCTTCGAGCGGCATCCGAGTCTGTGACTTTGTAGTTGGGGAAGAGACTCTGCCTCCTGT